AGATACACTCAGTCACTACAGTCCCTGCTCGGGCGCAACTCAAAAGACTGTGTCTTGGGCTGAATGAAATTTAAAGTCTTTAATACCTACTCGAAAGGCATAACAACTTTAGTCCCTGCCTGAACGGTAAGCAGACTTAAATCCTTGCACGTCAATGACACGCGCCCATCTCTAGCCTAGCTGGGGAACCCTTTGGGCTGGGACTTATCTCTTAGTCAGTTCGTCGCGTTTATCGTCGCCGTTGTCCTTGCACAAATTATTGAACAGCATTGAAAACATTTGAAGTGTTTCACTCGCCCAGGAGCAGCTGAAAGCCAAGTGGCCCGCCGCAAGACGTGCAGCCAGCGATAACCAGACCAAAGGGAATTGCCTGGGCCAGGCGGAACACACACTCTTAGGAGCCAGGCAGCTCCTCCGCGTGCACTTGGCGAAGTGGCAAGGCGAATGCTTTTATGCTTATTAATGGCACTACATGCAATTTATGTGTGGTAGTTAAAACGCAGCCACAAATTAATGGCAGAAGGCAGTGCACTCCAGACCCAAGGACTGCTGTAACAAGTCGAAGTTACCTTTTGTTGTTAAACTCTTTGATGCACTGCACTGCATCGATTTGGCATTGAAAGCTGGCCGAACCGAATGGATATTCACGTTTAAATCGCTGGCTTTAACGAAGCTGCTTTAGTCCTTACTTAAATCAAGTTCTGGCAGTCAACAGCACAAGTATAGATTAATATAGGTGTTCATCATAATATTTTCATCAAGTGAACAGCTTAACGCTCTTTACTCGTTGCTCTCGATTCGTTACTCGATAGTACTTGTTCGTTATATGTCACTTGCAATATATGAAACTTAGTTAATATAAACGTATCTTTAGTCTTTTTTCGTCATTGCATATCCTATGTAATTTCACTCGTTGTGTTGACTCGTTACAATTTACTCGATGCATTTTGTTTGCTCTGCTCTATTCCATGCTCCCTATGCATCACCTGTTGCTCTTACCGTTACTTTTACTCGCTGTAAGTTTATTTTTTTTTCGTTACTCGTCGCTCGTTAGCACTTACTATGCCTTTTAATGTCAACTCGTATGCTCCTTTTACTAATTGCTTTTAAATTATCTTAGTTACTTGTTGCCTATTGCCCTCTCTTCGTTAATTGTTACTCGCTACTTTATAGTTCTTATTCAATTATCAGTCGCTAATTGTTGCCCTTTGCTGTGTATATTTTCTTTTATACTAACTACTCGTAACCGTTCACTCATAACAGCCTACATATTAGGGGCTACTCGTTACCTTCTGTTCGTTACATTTTATTACTCGCTGCTGGCTACATCTCACTCTGTACTTTTTACTCGTCAACTTTTATTCATTAACACATTACAACTCGCTTCGTTCGCTAATGTTTACTTTCTCCACAATTATTGCTTGCTCGTTACTCGTTACTTTTTCTTTTATACTCATAACATGCTACATATGATTGGCTTCTCGATACTTTTTACTCTCTATCTTTTATTCGTGAGTTTATATTTAACCCTTTTTACTCGTTACTCGCTACGTCTCGCTCTTTACTTTTTACTCGTTACATTTTATTCGTTAAAATGGCTCTGTATTCATGAATTGGTTCGCTGATTACTCGTTACTGGTAACACATAACTCATTACTCAGCTCGTTACTAATGAACCTTTACTCGTTACTTTCTGCCGAATTCTTGTTACGCATTTTACTTCGCCCTTAGAGCTTGCCTTTAACCAAATGTCGCGAGTAACGAGCAACGAGTCTTTTAGAGCTTTCACTAAATGTCAGCCTTTAAAGCCTAGCACTAAGCGCTTTCCTAATCTGATTACTTAACGCCCACCTGACGGTTGCTTAGGCTGAGACTAAAGCTTCCGCCTGCGGCGAGCTCTCTTCAATTGCCACAAAGAGAACGAGAGACAGAGAGAGAGAGAGACTGATTCCTTGGCTAAAACTCTGGCTCAACTTTTGCACAAAGGCCCAAGTGCAAAAGGCACACACAGCCTGCTCCCTACCTCCCTACCCTGCTCTATATTGCCAAAGTGACTGCAACTTTGACTTAACGTTTCGCGGGGGGTTGGATTTTGAGGGGCTGGCAGGGCGAATTTGCGGCTGTTGCGAGAGAAAATTTATGACCAATTCAATAAACGATTTTATTACATGCGCACGTTGTGTTAACAATGTTATTATTATTGGCGCTCAGTTCCGCAGAAAAAGGGTTACCCCCCCCCCCCTCCCCCCCTCCCCCCCTCCGCCTCCATCCAACCCGCTCGCCCTTAACTCATGGCTACAGGCAATGCGGCAAAGTACACTCAGCAAAAAGCGAAGGCAGCCCACAAATTTAAACAAAATTAACAAACAAAATCTGAAGTAAAATAATAAAAATTAAAAAAAAAAAAAGCAGAAAAGCAAAAAACTTTTGCAAAAAAGCAGCAAGTGATTTTTTTTAAATATATAGAAAAATGCGTTGAGTTTTCCTTGCTTTGCTTTTCGAAAAAGCAAAATCTTCTTTTTTTTGTAAAAGGCAAGAAATAATTTCAAAAAACTTTGATTTTTTTTTCTTTATATGAGAAAACTTCGAACATTTTATTAAAAAGCAAAACAAAAAAAAGATCTGAAATTTAGAAATGTATCGTATTTAGTCAACATTTTCTTTGAGTGTAGCTGTGCGGGTTGGGCGGGCGATGGGCGGGGCTGGGTTAGAGCTGGGCCGATGCGGCCAATTATTATGAAAATTAATTTATTTTCTATCGGTAATGCAGGCGCCCCAAAAAGGACTCTCGTCCGTTCGCCTGTAGCCAGCTGCAAGTCCTTATCGCCGGCTGCCCGGCCAGGACGCCTAGCCCTCCCCCCCTCCCCCTCCCGCTTCCTCCTGATCCGGCTGCCTGCAGTCAGACTGCGGCGTGCATTGCGAAATGCTTTTGCTTTGTTTGCGCCCCGACTGTGGTTGTTGTTGTTGTTGTTGTTGTTGTTCTTGTTGTTGCTGTTGTTGTTGTTGTTGTTGTTGTTGTTGTTATTGTTGTTGTTGTTGTTGTTGCTGTTGCCTTGTGCGACCCTTTGGCGGCCCACGGGCTGTCAACGCTTTGCGCTTTTGTTTGCCCAACACACAAAAGGCCAACAGCACACACGTAGCTAAAGCTAAGGATGAAGCGGGGTGCAGGGGCAGCTTATTTTCTACAAATGCATTGTGTTTGTATGTGTGTGTGTGTGTGTGTGTGTGTGTGTGTGCGAGTGAGTGTGTGCAAATATAAAGCTTAACAGGCGCAGTCATGTGCAACACAACAAGCCAACAAAAGTCTCATTACTTTTACTTGGCAAATAATGAAGCTAACAAACAACAACAACAACAACAACAACACAATTGACAATTGACTTTGGCTTCGCTTTTACACACACACACTCACACACACACATCCTCACACACACACACACACACACACACACACACACCTCTATATTATACTCAGCCACATAATTGTTATATATTTTTATATTCGTTTTTTTTCTCACATTTCATTTCTATGGCCTCGACTAGTTGCATACCCTGCACTTGCTGCACACGCCTGGGCTATTTTGACTTTATGGTATACCCTATAAAAAGTTGAGAATAAAGTATGAATGCATATAGCTAGATATGTCTAGCTGGTTATGTCTTGCAGTGAAAATAATCATTGATTTGCATGTTTTAAACTGAGTTTGAACCACTTTTGTCAACAAAAAGGCTCAAAATATAATTACTTATTGAAGTAACAATAAAAAATTAATTAGCTCTTTTACAGGGTAGCAGCTAGTCGACTGCGGCAAGCTCACATATCTCGTCCATTAACAAATTGATTGCTTAACCTGGTTTGATAAATATTTGAAAGTGAAATATGCAAAGGCCAATTCAGTTCAGATGGATAAAGCAATTTAAGGGATAAGCCCAAAACAATTGGAACTGCTTTGGCGGGGAGTGCCCGACTAGGAGATACCCAGCACCAAGCTGCCGACATTCTCTGACATTCTCTGCCCCTCAAGATACACACAAGCTGTTCTTTTTCTTCCCGCACAACCCACGCTTTGTCTGCGAAATAAAATCTTAGTTAACTTCGGTGCTTATGGTCCGATCTTTGAGTAATTCTCAGCGCGCTAGTAATTCTCGCTAGAACGCGAAAGTAAATGATAAACTAGTTCGGCGTATGACATACGTGAATATATTTCCAATTTCAAGTCTCTAGCTTTTGTAGTTCCAAAATGGGGATGGCTTAATTTACTAAACTCTTTCTCCTTTTCGAGAGTGTATACACTTTATGAGGTCAGAGTTCCTTTCTTCTGCCTGTTGCATACTTTCCAAACTTCCCTTTTAAAATCGATGCAGGGTGTACAAATCGCATATTCCATCTTCCTGTCTTCCTGGAATAATCAGTAGACCTCAAAAGCGTTGATCACCTCAGAGGAATATAATGCATAGGATCGTGATAACCTTCCATTTGCAGGTAAATGAGCTGACGAGCCACTTGGGTAACTGAACATGTAGGAATATGTAGGGCTCGGATTCCAAGCTCAGTATTAAGAATCGTATATCCTATCTTCCTGTCTTCCTGGAATAATCAGTCGACCTCAAAAGCGTTGATCAGCTCAAAGGAATATTTCGCATGGATACCAACAATTTTTCCATATGCAGTCCGGGGCAGATGAGCTATCGTAGTGAAGATCCATAATCATATAGATAACTAAACATGTAGGATCCGGGCTCAAATTCCAAGCTAGCTCAGAGGCGCCTTCCGCTGTCTGTTGGATACTCTCCAAACTTCCCTCTACAATGGGTCGACCGCAAAGGCCTTGATAACCTCACCTATATTCCATAGCGCATGGGAAGGTCAACGCTTTCCTGATGCAGGCTGAGAAAGTGTTGAGTCAGTTGGGTAACTAAACATGTAGGATCCGGGCTCAAATTCCAAGCTAGCTCAGAGATGCCTTCCGCTGTGTTACACAGATTTGCACAAAGGAAAATAAACCTAGTTTGGATATTTATTAACGATAAAACCAAATTTACAGCAACAAGAAAAGTGAGAGAAACTCTTTAAAATGCAATGAGAAGACGTTATAAAGATGAACAAAAGTGTGAAATTAATATAAATCAATTTCGAAGACCTGCTGCGGATGGCGAATCTCGAGCTCCTCGAACAGGAGCGCCTCCTCGCGAGTCTGGGCGATGAGCTCCTCGATCTGCAGTCGGCCCGTGGACCAGCCGATGACCAGGCTGCGATCCCGATGCCTGGCCACGCGATCCATAAAGCCGAAGGTGATGCATGTGGGAAAGGCCTCCGGATGTCCGTCGGCGCTCCTGATCAGCTGCATGGGCTTCAGCTTGAGGCTGCAGTTGAACGGAATGTGCAGCAGGCAGAGCAGGACGAAGGGTCGCCGCTTGAACATGAATGCGACATAGACATTCAACGGATCCATGACCATCGACTGGACAAGGCCGCCCTCGTGCTGCTGCCAGTTGCAGTAGAAGCTGCGCAGATCGATCACCTCGCTGCTGCTCCAGACCATAAACGGATGCCGAAAGGGACCCATCACCATGCTCGAGGTGGAGCCGTACACCTTGCTCGATCCCTTCACCACATACATCAAATGATTGCCGCGGGCTGTCCACGCGGCCGTCTGGATGGGCATCCGCTTGGTCAGCTGATTGCTCCACGTTTTCAACGAGTTGCGATATCGCAAAATGGGCGCATCCGATTTGAGGAAGCTGATCAGATGCAGCATGTCCGACTGGTAGCGCATCACCCAGCAGTGGGTGCCCGGCAGCGGAACGTTCAGCTCCTGCATCAGCTGTTTCAGCTCCGGATGCCAGATCTGTATGCGGCGATTGCCGAGCGTGGCGCTGACCAGATGCGTGCCCGTCTGCAGCCACTGGAGATCGACAATGAAGTCCTTCGGCTTGTAGCCGTACCAGGTGAGCTTCATCATCGCCGGGCCGGGCATCATCATTGTGGTGGGCAGCGGCTTCCACAGGCAAATGCCGCCGGCACCGCCCACCGCCAGCTCGGAGCTGGACCAGGGCCGGAACGCGGCGCAGGTAACATGCCGCTGCTTGGCGGATGTCAAACGCTGGGGCGGCACACGCATATCGGAGTAGAGCAGCGCCACATCCATGCTGGTCAGCAGAGCGCGCTCCATGCCCGTCGGATGGCAGGCGATGTATCGGATCGAGGCAGTCGGCCAGTTGCACGTCTCAATGCTGGCCGCCAGATCTCTCACCGTCGGCGGCACCCGGCCCAGCCGGATGTGCACCCAGTTCCTTAGCCGGCCAAAGATCAGCTCGAACACCTTCCGCACAAATGCAAAGTGCTGGCCAAACGACAGCCACAGTCGCGAAAGTCTCTGCACAGCGCGCTCCACGAGCATTCGGTTCTGGAAGTTCAAAACCGGCGGCCCATAAGCCGTTCTGCCATTCATCCGCTGGGGTATAAATCTGTCTCGATTGGGATACATTTATTTTTTGTATTGCTTATTTATTTTTGCTTATTTTTCCAAAGATTTTGAGCTCTGCCCTTCAACAGAGCATAGACTAGACTGAATTGAATTCAACACTGACCCAAAACAAATGGAAAAGCCGACCGACCATCGCCTACTTCGCCCAATTGCGAAATAAGTCTTATTCCATACGCTTTCTACCTATTTACGTAGTTTAAGCTGAAGCGAATGGTTTTAAACATAACTCCATCATTTTATATAATATTATTTTATATTTTTTTTGATTTAATATTATTATTTAATTATTATTAATATTTATATTTGTATTTTCTGCTTTCAGTCTATGTCAGATGAGCTATCTGGGCGCTGAAGAGCAACTGCAAAGAGAGGTTGCTGGTTCAAACCACAGACTTTTGTCTAGTTAAGGCTATTTAGAGGTTAGTTCAAGTGTTTTTTCACCTTCTGCTATTTACAATACACATTTTTTCCTTTATTTAAGCAAGCTGAAATCTGTATATTCGTTGTTGCTCGTTACTTGAAAAATTTAAAACAATTAAGTTTATGTTCATTCAGCGATTTCTTGAAATAAAATATTGAGAAAAATTTAACTCAAGTGCTCTAATATATATATATATCGATTCGATGTATCATCGTCTCGATGGATTATTTAAGCTCTTGAGTTCTTAAAGTTCTCAATATTATATATAATCCATATATGTACATATATGTATAGTCCATCGAATGGCAATCGTTACATATATATTCTCTTATATTAAGCTTAGAAAATGCTTATCATTTTTTCTCGATAATAGCGACCCGAAATTCATAAGAGCTACGAACTGCAAAATGATTATGTAGGGTATCGTATAGCATATACAGATAAAGGATATTTTTAATATATTTCGCCCGACATTCGAAGATCGGACCATAAGCACCGAAGTTAATCAGCCAGAATGTTTTAAATGGGTGCAGGGTATCTGCTAGTCGGACAGCCGTTAGGCTCTAGATGCAGGGTATCTTGAAGTCGAGCATTCGCGAGGTATCGTTTAGACGAGCAGTCGCGAGGCGCTGAATATAGGGTATCTTACAGTCGAACAGACGCGATTCAGGAGTCAGTGCAGGGTATCTGCTAGTCGGGCAGTCGCGACTCAAGCACGCTTGCTCGATTTTTTGTGGGAGGAGCGCAACGAAAGCTTGTTCAACATGTTGAATTTTGTGCATAGCTACTTATACTGCTTGCACAATCATTTTGCGCAATCATGCTGGCACTCAATTTAATTGATTTTAAAGTTGCCGTCAGACGAAAGTCAGCAAAAGACAAGCTGTGGCCAGCCCAGAAAGAAAGAACTAACCTGCAATGTGTTGTCCAGCGGGGAAGGGGCGTGGTCGTTGGCGGGGGCGGGTTCAGAGAAGTGGCCATAAAACAATGGACAGGCATGTGCAGCCGGCAAATGCGTAACAGGTTAGAAGTCCACCACCAAACAGAAGAGCCAGCGTTCAAACTTTTCACGGCAGTTGGGCTAAGGTTTCCCACTGACGGGGTCGGGGTGGTGAGGGGAGGGAAGGGAAGGGAAGGGGAGGAGGGGTGGCTATGGTTTTTTGGCTTGGATTTGGTTCAGTTTCAGTTTCAGTTTCAGCTCTCCGAACGGTTCGGTCAGACAACTCTTGAGTGTTTGCCACCCGAGCTCAAACTTAAGTGGCGAAACTTGATTAAACCGCATCCACACACACACACACACACACACGCACACACACACACACACACACACACACACACACACGCACATGGCCAAAGTTTTGACTTGCATCAGCCAGGTAAGGTCCGACGAGCGGGGAGAGAACTGGGAACTGCGGACAGGGATTAAGTTGCGGTTGTGCAGCCAACGACAAAGAGTTGACTTCTCTCATCGTTTTTATGATGCACAATGATGCCACAGTTGCAGCTATAACTATTTCGAATACCCTGTAAAACGCTCGATATCGAGGCATATTAACTGATTGCAAATGTTTGTCACGCAACATTAAAGTCAACTAGAGTCCATTTCGTCTATTCGACAGCTCGGGCGCAGGCACAGGCATAGCTTGTTTAAACAAACGCGGTATGTGTGTGCGAGCATACCCCACGTAGTCAGAACCCAAGTTATCTGGCAGATTTTGCACTTTGCATGCGCCCCGATATCAAAATAAGTAAAATACATTTAATTTAAATATTTATAAATTTCTGTCAGCACTTTGTGTTCATATAACATTTCTTTTCAGCTTAAAAACACGCATTTTATCTTAAAATAAGTATTTGCATGCTTAAAATAATAAAAAACATGCTCAAAGCAAGTGCAAAAGATTCTTGCCTCAAGCACTTTATTTGAGCCAAGTCTTTAGAATTTCCAGGCTTCAAAAATTCTCTGGAAATTTTAATTAATTTTATTTAATTTCAATATTCTTTATATACTCAAGAAAAATAATATTATTTTTGTTTAAAGGCATTATAGTTATACATAATATAGAAAAATTGGCTTCAGCTGCATCTCCCTTTAAGTGTGGCCAAATTAGTTGCAAGTGTGGCCAAATAAGTTGCAAGTGTGGCTGTAATACGCAATAAATAGATTTTAGTTAATTAAAAGCCCATTACAGGGTATCTCTCGGTCGCACAGCGCAGACCTTACGCGTTGGCAGCAAAGCACAAATATGGATGGCTGCTGTGCTCAGTAGGGTTCCAGTGGCAGATCAAGTGCGTATTCCTGCTGCTGTGGCAGCCACAGCTCCTGCTGCTGGCGCTCCACGTGGGGCAGCTGCTGTGGCTGTGGCACAGCCGGTGGCAGGTAGGCAAGGGCTGGCAGACGAGTGGCCCAAGCTGCGCTGGCCAGCAGCCCGCAGAGCGTCAAGAGGGGCAGGGGCAGCAGCATCTTACGAACCAGTCAATGAACGAACTGGAACCAATGCTGAACTGTTGACTGGTTCCGCGCAGGCAGCTGCTTTTATAGCGAGTCACAGCTCGCATCTGGGCTTGGCAGCCAGATAGAAGCCAAGGCCAAGTCGCAGCGCTGCCTACCAAAGTCAACTAGTTGAAATTGCAAATTGCGCATTATACCCTGTACATGAAATGGCTTATAAGGGGTATATTGGAAGAGGGCAAAGGTATTTGACAGGCAACTCCCACTTCATGTCGTGTATGTCGTGTATATCTGTGAGTGGCAATGTGTATTTACAGGGTATTTGCTATTCTCCCGATGACAATGTTGTAGCCGTGGAATTTAATAGTTCGTGAGAGTATTTCGTAACTTTTTAGAGGGTATCTATCCGGCAACCACACTGCAGATCCTTATATGCATTAATTACTTAAACATTTGCAGATTAAAAAGTTTTTCTTGAATATTTCGCTAGTGTTTACAGGGTATGTTCTCGCCAATCACACCCTCGAACTTTTACAAATTCTGTAGCTTCTTCTCATTCGCATCAATTAACAATATTTGCAGACTTTATTAGTTTATCAATGTGCTAGATTATGACCTTTACAGGGTATTTCGTTGTTAAACACACTACCTCTCATCTTCACTCTCCTACGCTTCTTCTTATCCGCATTAATTGCCCCAACATTTGCAGACATTAATTGCTAAGAAAACTATTATATAATCTTCTTTACAGGGTATCTAGTTGTCAACCACACTACATATCTACTTCACTCTCAGAAGTTTCTTCTTATTCGCATTAATTGCCAGGATTTGCAGACTCTCATTATTTATCTAAGTATTTCGTTAACTCTTTTACAGGGTATCTATCCGTCAATTATACCTCCTACGTTAGCCCATCTCAGCTGATGCTTCTTCTTCTTGTTCGCATTAATTTGCGGCTCATTTGCCATGCAGTCGACGATCTTATCGGGAATTCGATTCGATCTGTTGACTGCCAGTTAATTTTTGACTCGTAAATTTCCCAGTTTATTTGGCTGGGAGTCAGTCGAGTTATTTGCAGCTCTTATACGCTCTGTCGGCCGATGTGGGTGAAGGATTCGGGCCGGCGTGCGTTCGTTCGGCTGGCGCATGCGCCTCGTTGCTGGCCGGGTCCGACGAATTGCAGCGTTTCCCGCCAAACTCAGGCAGCAGGGCAAACGTGGGGCGGGGGGCGGTGCGGGGTGGGCGGCGTTTTTGTTTACCTTTGTTATCAGCGCTTATCAGACGCTCTGACGCCGAACTGACGTCCTGACGAGTATCAAGTGTGTGCCCATTGGTGGGAATCTGTACGGTGAGAAGGGAGGGCGGGGCAGCAGCTGTGGCTGGGGGCTGGGCTGGGCTGGGCCTCAGGCCTCAGGCATCGCGACACGCACATCAATTATCCAGCCGGAGTTATTAGAATGCCACGAAATGATGTCAAACTACAGGCGAATGTGCAACATTCTTGTCATTCGCAATGACACGCATTCCACTGCAGCTGGCAACATTTAATGGGCATGCCTAAACATTCATTTGGGCGCATTTGTTTTGCGACTGAATGAGTTACAGCCAACAACTGATGGCATTCCACTGGCTATCATTCCTGTCATACGCATCATTCGGTTTCTTTCGCATTCCACCGAATGTTGAACTAGTCATTTGTTGTGTTTGCTTTGGCCTGAAGCGCCTGCATTCAATTGAATTCAACAAATTATAATTTTTTATCTAAAATGGAATTGAATAGAAGGAAATGGAATGGAATGAAATAGAATGAAATGAAATAGAATGAAATGGAATCAAATATAGAAGCTGATCTTGGGAAACTTTATCTATCGATTTCTTTAGATGTTAGAGATATCTATAGAGAAATCGATGTATACCTGTCTCTATATAGATTCCTTTTTTCAGGTAGGCTTACAATTTAGACAAATTCTTAACTACAAATACTATATTGAAAGTAAACTGGTATAGAAAACCTCCGATTGCCTTTTATCTAGACATGGTCGAGTGGGATATTAAGTCGGGAATATTCTTGTACAGAAAAGTTACATATTATCTATACAAAATCAATCTCTTTTAACTCTCGAGTATACATAAACAAGATAACAGTTGATTCTTTAACAGAATCATATCGCATCACTAGAACACACTTGAGATAGCTTACTTTTGCAACTTCGGTGCTTATTGTCCGATCTGTTTAAAATGTTCAGCGCATAATAATGGCATCCAAATGTTTGTAAATACCAAAACCCAAGGTCATATCTTAAAAAATGTTAAACTTTTTCAGTTTCTAGCTCATTTAGTTCCCCAGATTGAACCCTAAATAAATAGGATAGAGGGCAAGACGGACGGAGGAGTGCACAAAACAATTTTCAATGGGTATTTAAAGTATAAGAATATTGGGAATTATCCAGTTAAAAAAATTCCCTATATATACCCTGAACCCAATGAAAATGGATAAAAAGGGGTATAATGTATTTGTGCAAGTGTATGTAACAGGCAGAAGAAAGCGTCTCCGACGCCATAAAGTATATATATTCTTGATCAGCGTCGATAGTCGAGTCGATATAGCCAAGTCCGTCCATCCGTATGTATGAACACGTCGACCTCAGTACATTTATGTGCTAGGGATAGAAGTTTAGAACTTAAGTTCTCCCCGTGCGAGAGGGCGGGATATCATTTAACTTCTAGTCAGATCGGGGAGTAAACTTTTATTGCTGACTGTAAATAGCTGTTGGACAATGGATGATTGTGATGTCTTCTGCTACGGTCTAGATAGACATGTCTGGAAATCAGTTTGTCCCCTACCCCCCCCCCGTTTCCACCGTCGACCAGCACCTTTTGCTGACTGGACTAAAAACACAAATCGTACATTGTGTGCAACACGATGACAACATTTGTTGCTTGCAACCAACCAGTCGAGCAGAGGGGCACGAGACAGTTGCCAGTTGCCAGTTGCCAGTTGCTCGTCATCTAGTGCCTCCCTCGGCTTTCGTCCTGCCCCGCCGCCGTCGCCGTCGCCGCTGCCAGGCTGTGAGGCCCCGCAACACTTCCGGCATTTAAGCAAACAAAATATGTAGCATGCAGCCTTGCAACAAGCTGCATGCGGCAGCGAGCAGACAGCCAGCAGCGGCCATGTTGCCCCATCCTACTCCTGCCCCCCTCCCCCATCCGATAGACAGTTGTCGCATTTGTGTGTGCCACTTGCGCCATGTTGCATGCCCCACATGTGTAGGCGGAAAATGCGGCCATGTAGGCTAATGAGTTCGCTTTATGTCCGACTCGAGTTGTTGTTGTTCTTCTTCAGCTGCTGCTGCTGCTTCTGCTTCTGCTGCTGCTTCTTCTTTGTTGTTTTGTTGCGCAATTTTTGTTGTTGTTGCTGGTTAACGAGGCCGCCGCATTCTGTGGCACGTTGCCCGCCCCCGTAAAACAAATGCTTGTGGCGGTGTCATAATGGGAAATGTGTATGAAACTAAGGCTACGCTATTTGGTATTTGGTATTTGGTGGACAACCCTGGCAACCCTGGTTGCCACAAACTCAGCTTCGGCTGTCGGAAACGGAACAGGACTTGGCTGCACTTCCAAATGGATAAAGTTGAGCCGACTCCGTTAAAATGGGGCCCCAGCCAAATGGGTCAATTTAATCATTCTGGGTGCTTTGTGACGACAACAATTGCTGCTTTAAATGTTTGAGAATCGCATAGAAAGGCTCAACATACTGTAATTTAGCTGAGGTAAACGTTTTAATTGCCTGAGAATCGCATAGAGAGGTTCACCGTAGGGAAATTGACCTGTCAAAGCTAATTGGTGCATTCAAGTTCTTCCAAAATGCCGAAACTCGAGCTTGGGAATATTCCAAAGCAGTTGAGGACCATCTCCCCATTGAGTATGCTATTTATTTATTTATTGACTGCCAAAGGGTGTGCACAAAAACATTGTTGGGAATTTATTAGGTTATAATTCAGAGAAAGTAACGCCTCAGCCAGATGACGCGGAGGCTGATCAGCTCGAGGAGAAAGACAAGGAACGCGGCGAGAAGCATCATGTAGTAGATGAAGTACAAGCCGCAGAACATCTCCTGCCGTACCGGGGAGACCTCGTGCGAGGCATGGCCGTAGGGCTCCTGGTGCATGCGGTGCTCGAAGTAGCGATTGATGTGGCCCACAATGCCCGCGGACTGGAGCTGCTTCAGCTTGCGATCGAAGGCGAACTTGAAGATGGAATGTCGACGTAGATACATGACCAGCTGGTAGAGGTAGATATGCTCCCGCACATGGGTCAGCCGGCTGTGCTGCCAGTTCAAATGATTGTAGTGGGCCAGGTTGTCCAGCAGGGCACTCGTCGTGAGCCGGGCGCCGTCCTCGGCCGCCTCCAGTTCCTCGAAGCGCCGCAGAAAGTTGAACGTGCGCAGCTGCGTCCGATGCTGGGGAAAGTAGTCGACATAGTCCGGGGACAGGTACTGGTAGTCCCCCTCAAGCAGCTCGGCAATGTGCTCGGGCACCGGCCGATGGTAGGGCAGCCGGAATACATCGTATAGCTTGCCCTGGTAGGCGACGCGCTGCACCAGGGCGAGCAGCAGCCAGGCACCCAGGTAGCAGCGCACAGGACCCGCTCGCGGTACGGCCCGCGCCTCCAGCGGATTACCGAGCAGTGTGGTGTGCACGCGCAGTGCACACGCGGTTAAATCGAAGTAGCCGCTGCGCCGGCGCCAGGCCCACTGCAGCAGGAGGACAGCGAGGCAGCTGAGGATCAGCGCCAGCCAAACGGTGCCGCAAAAGGGCTGCACTAGCTGATTGACCGCGCCCATATAGTGATCCGTGCGGACGACAAACACGAGAGCGCTCTGATGGTACGAGCTGGTCGTGGAGAAGCGTTCCCGATGCAAATGGGAGGCGCTCAGCGCGCCAATCGCCACCGAGGAGTTGCCCACGCCCAGCTGGTGGAAGCAATCGTCGGCGCTGTAACTGTAGCTGTGCTCCAGCGTCTTTTTCTCGCACGGCGGCAGCAGACGCAGCCGGAACTTAAAGATCGTGGCCAGCAGCTTGAGCAGCTCCCCATCGACGCCCGTCAGCCGCCACGTCTCCAGCCGCTGTTCCGGATCCTCCCGATCCCCGGTGAACATGACAAACGGCGGCAACGGATACCAGCTGACGGTCAGCGGGCAGCCATAGAAGCTGCGCAGCGCACGCCCGAACAGATGACCCCGCGACAGCAGCTGGCCCTGCGCAAAGCGATTGATCAGCTCCGGCGTGATGGACACATTGCAGTCGGGCGCGTACAGGCGAAAGCCATAGAACAGCACCACACTGGGATCCGCTGACTCCACGATAACCACCGCGTTCAGCACATGGAAGCGGAGGCATTTCGCAAAGATGTCGTGCAGTCCCGCCAGCAGCGCCTGCTCCTCCTGCACGCGCCAGCTGAGCAGTATCAGGAAATTGAACTCGCGATCAAAGAGGGTTGTGGCGAATTGAAAGTGGAGAGCGCGGAACGCCTGCGGCGTGTCCACCAGAAACAGGATGTAATCGCGCGGCTGCTCGATGGGCTTGTCCTGCAGCAGCTGCACGGCCACCCGCTCGTTCAGCCGCCGGAGCAGGTAGCTCATCGCGCGGCGCTGATAGCGATGCTCCGCATCCGAGCGCGACAGCTCCATGATGGACAGGGCATGGAAGCGCGGACCCACCGAGCTCTCGAGCACGTGCAGAGCGGCGTTCACCAGCTCCGAGGGACGATACTCGTCCACGGGCTGCACTGCACCCAAACAGAGCGCCAGGTGGCGCAGCAGCCAGACCAGCAGCAACATTTGACGGCGACAAGCGAACAGCTCCAACTGCAGGCCCCATTCACAACTGGGAACCGGACACAGCCACAGCCCCAGCTAATTCCATTAATGGACGGCCGGCCGGCCAGATGGGGGTTGAGTCCATTTAATTAGCTCCAAGTAAGCGCATATATTTTAAAGATAAGCCAGATACTAGATAGTGCAATTGGCAAGCGAAGCTAGGCAAAGGGGTTTAAGCAATAGAGCTTAACGAACTAGTTCGCAACTTTTTTCCAGCTGGAGGTTGGAGTTAGGAAGAGAATGTGCCGTCATATGAAAACACAATAGTTCAATTCGTGGCTTTGACAGGGCTGGTTCCAGGTGAACCAGATCGTGACACTGATCTAGTTCAATTGGACGAAACAATTGCCGGAACTAGTTCGCAACTAGTTCCAGTTGATCGTTTAAGTTTATAAAGGGAATATGTTAACATAAGAAAAAAAACAGGAGTTCAATTCGTGGCCTTGACAGGACAGGTTCCAGGTGAACTAGATCGTGACACTGATCTAGTTCAATTCACTAAAAACTAGTTCAACTCCTTGGGAAGAGAAAATACGCCAAACGATGCTTGAAGAGTTTCTTATTTCGAGGGTTTAGACAAAAGCACTGCTGGAACTTGTTCATAACTGGTTCCAGCTCATGGGTATAGTGGAAGAAGGCAATATGCCAACATAGGAATAGGAGTTCATTTCATGCGTTTGACAGACCATGTTCTTGGCGAACCAGATCTTGAGACTGATCTAGTTCACTTCACTGAAAACTAGTTCAACTCGTTTGGAACATACAAATTTCGCAACATAGACAGATGCCAAACATTGCCTACTTAAATTTGTACTGAAGAATTGCAGGAACTAGTTCGGTTCCGGCTCATCAGTGAAGTTAATGAAAACAGAGCAAGAGTTTATTCTGAGCCCTTAAAAAGGTTCGGGGCGAACCAGATCATGACAATGATCGTTCTCTCATCAAGTTCTTCTCATTAATAAATTAATTGTTGGAACTGGTTCGCAACTGATCCTTAATCGTTATACTATGGAGGCTAAGAATTGCATTAGTGCCTTTTGATCAAGTTGAAAGTTCCTCATATACGCATCGAACCATCTCTCATGACACTGAACTAGTTCGTTGCATAAATAACTGGATCATCTCGTTTCAAATGGGGGTTCAAAATTAGACGAATGCTCAGTCAAAGCTTAGTTCGAGTCTTTCTTGAAAGTAAAAGGTGTCTCAAACTCGCAAGAAATCAGCTCTGCTGACACTGATCTAGCTCATTTCGCATAAACGAACCTACTTGTGGTTCCAAACTAGTTCAGCTCATTCTAATTCTTACGATCTTCAACTCATTTAATCCTTCGAAATATTGAGGTAATAGCACACATATAGAAAATGGATAGATATGGCAACGCCTTTGCCGTATGGCACAGTGTGGCAACTCTTGTGCGTGATTGCACTTCTGGCTCTCGGCTCATATTTAATTAAAATACAAAAGTCTTACATGGTCGAACCAGTTCTTTTAGTTCTTACGATCCTCAACTGTTTTAAATCCTTTGAAATATTGGGGAAATATAACATGGATAGATATGGCAACGCCTTTGCCGTGTGGCACAGTGTGGCAACTCTTGTGCGTAATTGCACACAACTGACTTCTGACTTTTGACTCACATTTCTTGAGTTTCGAGTTTTTAGTTTCGAGTTTTGAGTTTTGAATTTTGCAAGCTGCTCGCATTTATTTCCATTCCATTTCCATTTCGCATTTTCGCTGGCAAATGGGCGCAGCTCCCTCTCAGCCAGGCTCATAATTGCCAGCGCAAGTTTCACACACGCATACATATGTGACTGTGCGTGTGTGTGTGTGTGCATTTGCGTTTTGAATTTGTGGATTAAGGGGGAAGGGGGTGGTGCTAGGGGCGGGGGGAGAGCAGTTAAAAAACTTTTCGGTGACTTTATTTTTGGCGGCAGCAAAAAACTTTTAATTTAGCAACTTTTTTGACTTGCGACGACGACTTTGACTATTTCTTTTTTATTTATATCTATATATATATATTTTTTTTTAATGGGTGTGTGTGTGTGTGCGTGTGTGTGTGTGCCTGGCAGTTGGCATCTTATTAAGCAAATTATTGCCATTGCGGGTTATGTGAGCTCGCAGACAGCAAAAAATGCGTCAAGCCAAATATTTGGCAAACGATTTAAGTCCAAATTTTTAAATACACTCACTCGGGGCATGTTGATTCTATCACCAAACATGCAAACCAAGGAATGAAAGTGAACGAATACTGTATTTATATTATGCCAGAAGCAAGACTCCAATTCGAACCAGTTCATATTTTGTTCATATGAACCGAATATACTATATACTATATACTATATACTATATACTATATACTATATACTATATACTATATACTATATACTATATACTATATACTATATACTAGATACTAGATACTACATACTAGATACTAGATACTAGATACTAGATACTGGATACTAGATACTAGATACTAGATACTAGATACTAGATACTAGATACTAGATACTAGATACTAGATACTAGATACTGGATACTAGATACTAGATACTAGATACTAGATACTAGATACTAGATACTAGATACTAGATACTAGATACTAGATACTAGATACTAGATACTAGATACTAGATACTAGATACTAGATACTAGATACTAGATACTATATACTAGATACTATATACTAGATACTAGATACTAGATACTAGATACTATATACTATATACTATATACTATATACTATATACTATATACTATATACTATATACTATATACTATATACTATATACTATATACTATATACTATATACTATATACTATATACTATATACTATATACTATATACTATATACTATATACTATATACTATATACTATATACTATATACTATATACTATATACTATATACTATATACTATATACTATATACTATATACTATATACTATATACTATATACTATATACTATATACTATATACTATATACTATATACTATATACTATATACTATATACTATATACTATATACTATATACTATATACTATATACTATATACTATATACTATATACTATATACTATATACTATATACTATATACTATATACTATATACTATATACTAAATACTATATACTATATCCTATATACTATATACCTTATCAAAAGGATTTAAAAGCTGTCGCTTTCTCATGTTTTAATGGGTTTTGATTTGCTTGAAGGGTATTTGAGGTGCGGCTTGTTGAAATAATTGTTTTATCAGTTTCGTGTTAACAGAATAAATTTTGCTGCCTGCGCTTTTTGCTCGCCTTTTGTTTATCAAATGCGCACATTAATTACGCAACCACAAGCACACTCATGTGTGTGTGTGTGTGTGTGTGTTTGTGTGTGTAGGGCATGTGCATTCATGCATGTCGCACTGGCCCGCCCCTCATACACCCCCCCCCCCCCCTCCCCCGTTGGCGTCGCCCTTCGATGGCCGCTGCAAACATATCGTTTTGGCCGGGCGGCGCATTTGCATTTATATGCGCATATCCTTTGTGCCCAAAGGATATTACATTTTTCCACTTGAAGCATTTTTCGTGCATTTAATGAAATTTTTAATTTTTATGCGCGCTGCAGCTTCACAGATGGAGAGAGTGAGGGGGGGGGGGGGGGGGGCAGATACAGCGGGCACTCGCTACAATTGCCGCTGTCCAAAGCTCGAGCCAATCCCAAAGCGCAAAGATAAAACAAATAAGAGTGGGAAGTGGAAGTGGGTGGGGCATGCTCGACTAGTAGATACTCTACGCCTTTCCGAGCATGCTGCTTCTTCTTCTTTACTTAGCGACAGACTTTCGGAAGAGTGATCTCTTTTAACTAAGGTGTAGGTAGAGTTCGATCTTATCGAAACTTTCAGGGCTTGACTATGGCATATTAAAATCTCTACATACCAAAGCGCAAGGTTCTACCTACAAAAATGAGTGTTTTACCAATTTCGAGCGGTCTCGAGGAAGGGTATCCAAGAAAAATGACATATTCTTTGGCTGTGTAGGCCGAATTTCGAGAACCAGCCCGCCGAGTTTGGTTTAGCTAGTTCTTGTATTTTCCGAATAATGCTTAATATAATATACCTCAAAATCGATATTTATCGATATTGGGAAACTTCCTCAATATATCGAAGAGAACACACTCCTTCTGCTTGTGGTAAAGAGTACTTCGTATTTCGTATTGCAGATCCCGGGATCCATGCATTTGCTTGCCAAACATGTCAAGATCGACTCAGCTCCTCGCTCTGCTCAAGAATTGAAGTATATTGCTTTTGGTTTCGTTTGCCCGTTGCAAAGATTCGCACAAAATCATCATACCCTTTCTGGGCCCTTGCAATGGGTTCAGGATGTAAAAATTGCGGCTCTTTACAGCTTGTATCTCTCTGGCCGACCGCCCCCCCCCCCCCCCCACCGCTCCCCTGCTGGCCATTTGTCGCCACCCCGCTAGCGTTCCCAAGATGCAACTGCAACCGCAGCAGCGCGCTTTGGGCATGTAACAAGCAAAGCTCGACTAAAGCATACCCTTTAGCGCTGATAAAAAAGTTTTATGAAAAAAATTAGGAAAACCAGGGTTCGAACCCCCTTTTTTAACCGTTTATGTTGTTTATGATCGAAATGTGAATAACACCTGCTTAACAGCTGCTAATTATGTAAATGTAAGTAACAGCTACTTAAAAGCTCTTAATAATCGAAAATTAACAGCTGCTTAACAGCTGTTACTGAGTAAAATGTGACTAACAGCTTTTAATGATCCAAATGTAACAGTGTTAATAATGTTAAAGTACCAAAAAAACCAGCTGCAGCTGGTTAACAGCTGTTAATCAAAATGTAAATAACAGCTGCTTAACAGTTCTTAATAATCAAAATTTGCAGGCGTTCAAAAGCTGTTAATGATGAAAATGTAAGTAACAGCTGCTGTTCTTGATCGAAATG